TGAACTTCCCACTCGAACGTGGCCAGATGCACCAGCCACATTTTTTGTCTTTTTTTCACATTTCGAGAGTGGTGTGGCGAGGCGAGGCCCAGAGTTGACAGCGGTCGATCGATGGTGGTGGAGGCGGGAGGAGTGAGAAAAATGCCACCTCTCCTGCCCTGCTGCGCTCCTGCGCCGTGCGCGGTTCACAGTTTGGTGCGTACGTTTCCAACCATCCTGATTTACGTCGTGTCTTAAACCACCAGTACTTGGCCCAGCTATCGGCCGCAGGCCTTAGGTCGCGCGTCGGGGTACCGGACCAGAGGTGCCAGCCATAACAAAACAAAAACAAAAAAAAACAAAACGGTGACACTGGCGGTTCGGCGAAACTTGGAGTGCAGGACATTTCCAGGCTAGGCATCGATAGCTTGGCCAAGTACTGGTGGTTTAACAGATTATGGTTTTGAGGGTCATCCATTACGAAACGACTTTCATCCCCAATCATGTCGACTCCGGAGCCTTGTTTTCGCCAAGGGAAAAAATAAAGGGAAAGTTGCATGATACTTCTTGGAGTTGTCATATTTTGTCGCACACCCACATCAGATCCGCAAGTCCCATCCATGCCCCTGTCTCACCTGCAAATTTGCGGCAGACCCGAGCGTCGCAGTGGCGAACTTTTCACCATGCCACGTGCGACACACATTTTTTTGCCCGTGGTCCTTCCTAACTGGCTACAGGACCCGGTGGGACAAGCTTGGGTGGGCCCTGCCTGCCCAGGGCATGCGAAAACCTTCCGAAGCCTTAGTGGCATATCGTGGGTTTTCATTTGAATCTGTGTCATGCACACCCTAAGATAACAAAATTTGCTGGGCAGTGGGTGTCAGACAAAATATACACAAAGCTTAGGAGTACCGCACAAACGGCCTCGCTCCACTACTCGCGAGTCGACATGCACAAACGACAAAAGTCACGTTACCTATCGGCGGTCCACGTCATTGGTGGTAAGCCATAGGTTCGATTCCCGGTGAGTTGACCTTGGACTTCTTGTGTATAATATAAAAAAAAAAACACGCACTTATGAACCTGTCGGACGCCCTTGCGGTAGTGCTTGGTTGAAGTCTGGATGGTGCTGTGACTTGTGTCCCTCACGTGCATTCGGGTCGAGTCGAGTCTGGGTACACCGGGGCATGGTTGAGTCGAGTCTGGGTACACCGGGGCATGGTCGAGTCGAGTCTGGGTACACCGGGGCATGGTCGAGTCGAGTCTGGGTACACCGGGGCATGGTTGAGTGGAGTCTGGGTACACCGGGGCATGGCTGAGTCGAGTCTGGGTACACCGGGGCATGGTTGATCCATGCTGGGGTGGGGTGAAATGCTCCGCACGGGACGTCACATTCATCCCGGCTCGCTTTACCTATTGGGCACGGTTAAGTGGTCCACGTCTTTGGTCGTAGGTCATAGGTTCGATTGCTAGCGAGTTGATCTTGGCCTTCTTTGCGTTTAAAAGCAAGTATTTTTCCATGTTCTAGCAGAAGATTCACTCTCGTTTTGCACATGTCGAGAGTAGTGGAGCGAGGCCGAAAGTGTCCATGCCTTGTAGTTGAATAGTATTTAGTATTTACCACCACTCAACTACAAGGCATGCACGATTTGAGCGCATTCACTTCTGGGAAATTTTGTGTTTTGCAGCTTTTGCTCCGATTATCTCCGGTGATTTCCATTCCGCCCCTGTATTTTTTTGTATGTGTGTTGTGCCTTTCAATGTGGTACCACCATTCAACGACAAGGCGTGCACAATGTGAGCGCGGAAAATTTGAGCTTCGCGACTATGATCCACGATGAATCGCATGTTGCCCTTGTACTTTTTGTACTTGTGGAGTGTGTTTTTTATGAGATTCATGGGCTTCAAATATTCTGTGTGTATCCCTGAATCTGCCCGCTCAAATTCGTCTTATGCCCCACTGCTGCTTGTCAAAGAAAGCGTAAACGGGTGCAAGAAGTCAGGCCCAGGGGCACAGCACAAATTGCACACCTGTCGCACAGGAGCCTGGCACAAAGTTGCAGGCCTGAAAAGGGCTCGTCGCAAATACCAGAAATTACAGGGGTAGCGCTTCCATCCCGGGCGACACACGTGCTACAATGGCCAGGACAAAGATTTGCAACCCTGCGAAGGCGAGCTAACCTCAAAAACCCGGTCTCAGTTTGGACTGCAGGCTGCAACTCGCCTGCATCAAGGCGGCTTGCCGGTTAGCCATACCGCGGCGGTGAATCCATTCCCGCACCTTGTACAAACCGCCCGTCGCACTATCGGAGCTAAGCACAAATTGTCACAAATTATACGGGCTAATTGCAAATCCTCACAATTTTTTTGGTTGCCCCCGACAGTACTGTATGTCTGGTTTCAGCCTTATTTGGGGCCTCGACACGTCACTCCGAAGATGGCCAAAAAAAGATGGCCATTTTGGGAGTGCAGCGTCGCCACATCAGCTTCCTGATTCAATTCGTCAGACTCAATTCAGGAGCTGTCAGAATGTGGCGTTCGTTCGAGAGCACCGCCGAAACGGGAGCACAGGGCTCCTGTTAAACCGCCAGTACACAACCCCAGCCTTGCTAAAAAAGAACTCGTCATCCATCCTCCTTTTTTTTTTTTTTTTTTTTTTTTTTTTCAAATCACCCACAGGTCCAAGGCGAAGTTGTGTGCGACGTATTTCAAAATTCGAAGTTCAAACGCCTACAGCTATTATCAAAACAGTATGCTACTCTTCTGGTTGAGTTGCATTCGTATCTCTAATCTCTAATACCCTAAAGGAAATAGAGGGTCTCGGGTGAGCGTCCCACGTGAGCCCCCTATAAGTGTTGGGAAAGTACGTAATGGGTCCATGACCCATGAGGGGGGGGGCCGAGCAGGTCGACGCGGGCGGGGCGGGCCGCGGAAAGGCGCAGGCCGAGAAGCGCGAAGCGGTCGTCCCGGTGCGAAACGGGAGGGCTGTGGGAAAGTGTATATTTCCATGTTCTAGCAGAAGATTCAATCGATTTTGCTCATCCTATCGATGGAAGTAGCGTGAGGCCAGCCGCTGCCGCGGGGTTGGAGACTTCCCTGTTTGCCGGTGTGTTGCTCATTTTATCAATGGAAAATCTCTCTCTCTCTCTCTCTCTCTCTCTCTCTCTCTCTCTCTCTCTCTCTCTCTCTCTCTCTCTCTCNCTTTTTTTTTTTTTTTTTTTTGTCAAGCCCAGGTTGTTGTAGAGGTGGGATAGTAGACCAATGGCAGTCACCCGCAGTACTTGGCCACTCGGTTGTCCAGCTGATATCCAGAAAAAGATGGCGCCGGCGGGGCGTCGATGAAAGAAATTGGCAGCCAGCGTCGCTTTTCAGCCTCTGACACGCCCCCGCGGCCGATGTGAGGCGTGTACTGGTGGTCTAAAGCTAAAATTCAATCCGAGAGCACTGCCATTTTTTTTCGGGGATTCGGGTGTGTGTGGCAAAGCCCTACGTCTGAGGCATCAAAGATGAGCAGTGGCGAAGCCCTACATCAGAGGCATCAAAGATGAGCAGTCTATTCAGACACAGATCCTAATGGCCATGCAGAAGAATGGAAAAGACAAACGAAAACAGAAGGCCAACAACACATGTCCGATTTCATCACAATATGTCCAATTCTTTTTTTGCATCTTTTGCAGTGGAAGTACCTATGGTACCAGTTCATATTTGGTTACCTGAAGCTCACGTAGAAGCACCCACCGCTCGATCTGTTATCTTAGCGGGAATTCTCTTAAAATAGGGAACGAGCCACGCATCTTAAACATACTCATAATGAAATTGATAGCACCTAATATTGAGGAAACACCTGATAATTTGATAAATGAAGACTGAAAATAGCTAAATCCACAGCTCCTCCAGAATGACTGGTTATACTTCTTTTCTGTAGGTTCTTGGACATGCAAATAATTCGTCCACCTCAGTGTTGGGCATGCAAGATTTCCAGCCTGGCGTTTCTCCGGTATAAAATCTATAGATGCAAGTTGGGCACTGGGATTGGGTATGACAACGGGTATTCCCATCTTTGAATGGAGTACAGAATCTACAGATGCAATTTTCCCCCTTTTTTCATTAACGGCCACGGCCGTGAGATATCATCATCCAACAGACCTGGCCCAGGTAATTCAGAGTTCTTTTGTTCATCTCAGTGGGTCAGGATCAACAGCGTGGCCGAATGGTCCTTATACACTCGTCCTTAGCAGCAAAACAATTGCACTTCTGTTTACATTCTCCATCCCATAACAAACGTTGCACACCATCAATCATCTGTATCGGAAAAACAGTGTGTAATACGCATGAGATGCAGCACTGGTGCAACAAGCAATAGTGCGATAGAATCACCACCGCTATGCTACCGGCGGTAGGAAAACACACTGCACAAATGAACTGGAGACGGTCGCCACACTATGGCAATCGGTACACACAAACACACACACACACACACACACACACACACACACACAGAGAGAGAGAGAGAGAGAGAGAGAGACAGACAGACAGACAGACAGACAGACACACAGACGCATACAGAAACAGCAAATGTTACATACAGAGAGAGAGAGAGAGAGAGAGAGAGAGAGAGAGAGAGAGAGAGAGAGAGAGAGAGAGAGAGAGAGAGAGAGAGAGAGAGAGAGAGAGNGAGAGAGAGAGAGAGAGAGAGAGAGAGAGAGAGAGAGAGAGAGAGGCAGAGAGACAGACAGACAAACACATACAGAAGGAGCAATTGTTACATACACAGAGAGAGGGAGGCAGAGAGACAGACAGACACACATACAGAAAGAGCAATTGTTACACACACACACACACACACACACACACAGACACACACACACACACACACACATACACACACAGAGAGAGAGAGAGAGAGAGAGAGAGAGAGAGAGAGAGAGAGAGAGAGAGAGAGAGAGAGAGAGAGAGAGAGATGTGAGCGCATTATTCTCACGTGAACAACTACAGTGGACGGCGAAGGAAAGGAACAAGTGATATCTAAAGGCAATGACAGTTCACGTTGCGACAGATGATACGCTCTTCTTCTTCCAACGGTTGTACACCACCTGACTTTTGACCTCTGATGTTCCTCGAAGAACAGGCACAAAACTGTCTGTCGTGCTACAATCTACCCATGCAGAATCACCACCCAATCCAATTGTATCCAGAGCTTCCCCTGCGCTGAACGCTGCTAAAGGTGTGGTCTTCCTGACATTATGCCCATTACTGCCAAGGACAGCAATGCTGCTATCTTTCCGAGATGACCGGGAAGCAATTCCTGCTGCCTGGCCAAAGCCGGAAGCAGCTCCACCTCCACCTCCACCTCCACCTCGAGCCTCTTCTCCTCCTACCTTCCATCTCTCGGCGTCATTCTGTGCCATGACTAGAGAAATGAATGGCTTTTCCTCCAGTTCCTCCTCTGTTCCTCGGCGTCTTTGGTCCCCAGACAGCTTACTCTTCTTCTTGACCTGAGATCTCAGGTCCTCTCTCTCCTCACCTTTCTTCTCCTTCTCCTTCTCCTTCTCCTTCGTCTTCTCCCTCTTCTCTCCCTCCTTCAGATTTGCTGCCCCACCGCCAACTTTGCCTGGAAGACCATCACGTCTTGTCTTCGCTCTCTCCTTGCTTCTGCCTGCTTTCCTATCCCCCTGTGCTTCTTCATCTTCACCCCCATTATCATCATCTTCACCCCCATCATCATCTTCATGATCGCAATCGGAGTTGCCCTTCTTCAATCTGATGTGGTTCCCTGGTGGGGATTTCCCCCCGCCTGCTGCTGTTGCCGTCACACAGTGTGCGGAGTCCTTCGCCGCTTCTCCATGCCCTTTCACTGCGCGCCGTTTTCGACCCCGTACTCGCTGCCCATCCAAAACCTCCAGATTTGGCAGGAAGCCACATATCTTGCTTATGTATCCGTCTTGGTTACACACAGGGTTCCCTCTGAAGCTCACTTGTTTGAGCTGTGATAGTTTGGTCAGTACCTGGACGTCATTCCAGTCTTGTACTCGATTGCTGCTCATGTCAACGATCCTCAGGTTGCCGTTCGTCTCCAAGTCGAGCGGAAGAGCGCGTATGGTGTTATGTGCCAGACGCAACTCCTCCAGCAGGATGCAAGTTCTCAACCCGCTGCCTAGGGTTTGTATTCGGTTATACGAAAGCGAGAGCTTTGACAGCGCAGATAGTTTTCCTATTGCCTTGGGTATCTCTCGGATCTTATTCTTCGACAGGACGAGTGCATCGAGCTTCTTCAGTCGATCAAGCCGAGCAATCACTTCAATCTGGTTGTCGTTGAGGATGAGCGCACGGAGGTCCGTGAGACCAGCAACTTCGCCGAACGCTGAGAGCTTATTGTGGCTGCAATTCAGAACGGTCAACTTGGACAGAGAGGAAATACCAGACAGACTCTCCAGCTGATTGCCAGCCAACGAAAGCCATTTCAGTTCTGTGCACAGCTTTAGACTAGCGATGGAGGTAGAGGCCAGTGCGTTATTGCTAATATCGAGGCGTGTGAGGCGGGAACACTTGTCAAGATCGACGATGTCAGAGATCTGTCGCCCTGAAACGTCGAGTTTTTCAATCGCTTCGACATCGCCGTCTTGCTGTAAGGAAGACACGTAAGCAGCGGTGAGGCGCACCATGGTGATGGCGGTCTTTTTCTTCTTTTTCTTCTTCTTCTTCTTCTTCTTCTTCTTCTTCTCCTTCTTCTAGTTTCCCTTTTTTCTGTATATATCTTCACTCGCGTAAAAAAGAATAGAATCAACACATGCCAACTAAACTAGATCACTCGCTGTTCTGACTAACACTAACGTTGATGATGATGATGAATGCTGATCATGACGTGATGATGATGATGATGATGATGATGATGAATGCTGATCATGCAGTGATGATGATGATGATGATGATGACGAGGAGGAGGAGGAGGAGATAGGGATGGAGGGACGACGATCAGATGATGAAGATGGATGATGGATGTGAATGAACTAAGAATTACCGACTATAAGCTGGGAGAGAAAAACGCCACATGGATCGCCCACACGAGTAACAGAGGACAAGAGCCAAGCACATGTATAAGGAGACGAGAGAAGGAGAAGGAAAAGGACGAGGAGGAGGAAAAGGAGGGGGAAGAGGAGGAAGAAGAGGAGGAGTAAGAGTAGGAGGAAGAAGAAGAGGAGGAGGGGAGGAGGGGAGGAGGGGGAAGCGAAAGGAAGCTATTCAGTCTATCGATACAGCGCTATGTGCTCACTAGATTAGCAAGCAGGTAATAGGTAAAGAGGATTTATCCACGATCGATACGGATATGGATACGGATAAGATCTTTACAAAAACAGAATGGAATGCGGTAGATTGCACAGCACTCTATCAAGCTTGGAAGTGTATTCTTATGCACTATATGCCAGTTGGGGTAGATTAATTTACTGCATTCCGTAGTGTCTCTTAGAGTATGCGATTAGGAAACGATCTAGAAGAAATGACTTGACAAAAAGACCAGACCAGACCAGACCAGATTAGGTAAAGAATGACGAACCAAGGAGCCCAGGACTCATTTGCCAGATAAAAAGACACAACGAACTACCTCACACTGTGTGTGTGTGTGTGTGTGTGTGTGAGAGAGAGAGAGAGAGAGAGAGAGAGAGAGAGAGAGAGATGATCAAGAGCTGCCTTCATCCCCGTGCGATAATTCGCGTTCCCTACCCCTATTCCGACCGTGCGCCTCTTCCTACCCTGTAAGTGGGGTCAGCACGATCGTTCGGACCGAAGCGCGCCGGCTGCGGAGCAGATCCGCACTGACTGACTGTGTACCGCGCACGGCGCGGAGGCGCAGCCCGGAGGTAGGGAGGTAGGGAGGACTATGTCGCGGAAACAGAGGTGCGACGGCAGCGAAGTGTTTGGGCCTCGTTCCGCTACCCTCGACTTGAAAAAATCTCAAGGGCGGCACCGTTCCATTGTGCCCTTCCATTACCGTTGTGCCCTTCCATTACCGTTCCATTACCCGAATGTCCGACTACAAGAACAAGACCCACATCTGCTAACCACCCGGGAAAGGCCAGGACAAAGGGCCTCGTTCCACCACCCTCGACTTGAAAAAAAACTCAAGGGCAGCCCTACACGCGCCCTTGAGCGTAAACGTAATTAAAAAACTCTAGAAGTCAGCTTCGTTCCACTAACACCTACAGTTCCCGCTCGCAAAAGGGGCGGGAACATGTGCTGCGCTGTGGTTGGGTCAAGATTGTCTACCGAGTGGGCGCGGGGAATGCAGCCCTAAGGTAGCCAAATCAATGAGACTATGAGCTCGCACAAGAGAGAGAGAGAGAGAGAGAGAGAGAGAGAGAGAGAGAGAGAGAGAGAGAGAGAGAGAGAGAGAGAGAGAGAGAGAGAAGGAGTTTTGTTCCATTTATTGTTACGAGTGTGAGAGAGAGATAAAGAGTGAGAGAGAGAAAGAAAGAGAGATAGAGAGAGAGGGAGGGGGGGGGCTACCAGAGAGAGAGAGAGAGAGAGAGAGAGAGAGAGAGAGAGAGAAAAAAAATTGTTTCATTTGTTGATACGAGTGAGAGAGAGAGAGAGAAAGAAAGAGAGAGAGAAAGAGAGGGAGGCGGGGGGCCTACCCCAGAGAGAGAGAGAGAGAGAGAGAGAAAGAGAGAGAGAGAGAGAAAATTCTTTCATTTGTTGATACGAGTGAGAGAGAGAGAGAGAGAAAGAAAGAGAGATAGAGAGAGAGGGAGGCGGGGGGCCTACCAGAGAGAGAGAGAGAGAGAGAGAGAGAGAGAGAGGCTGAATGGCAAACTTGAAATATGGGTTAAATTGTGGTCGCGATCTATTTCACAGTTGGAATAGTTTTTTACATTTTATTTAGCGTTTTTCCTGGAAAGATCACAACAAAATCTACGAGTATTTCAATTTTTAGGTTTTTTCACACATTCTTCTGAGAGTGAAAACTCACTGAATTTGGAGTACTTCTTAAGTTGGCCCGCACATGGCTGAGTGGCAAAAATGGAAAATGTGCCTTATTGGCGCGACGATTATTTCTCGGTCTAAATGATTTTTTAGAAATGTTCTAATATTTTTCCTAGAAAGAACACGACCTCGTATATGGATTCTCAAAATTTCAGATTTTTCTGCGGGTTCCTCAGAGCACAAAAAATCGTCAAAGGTGCCTCTTGCAAAACGCTTGTTTCGTTGCGTCTGACCTCCCTATTTCGAGAAGTCGGGCCTCAATGCCTGGGCCTGAGGGCCCTTACCCAACCCCCACTTTTTTGGGGGGTCTACTTCCACCCGAGCACCGGTCCTTCCTTTTTCCAAAAGTCTCGGTTCTATCAGAGCTAGCTGTAGGTAGTCCGCAATTTTGGCAAGGACTGGTTCCCCAAATTTTTTTGCCCCCTAAGAACCCACTTTGGGTCCTGGTCGCCCACCGCAAAAAATGCGACACCTTGACACAGACGCCGAACCCCAGTAGACCGCAACCTTAGGGCTGCGAATTTTTTAAATTTATGTAGCATTTTTCTTGGAAAGATCACAACAAAATCTAAGAGTACTCAAATTTCCAGTTTTTTTCACGCATTCTTCTGAGCGCGAAAACTCACTGAATTTGGAGTACTTTTTTAGTTGGCCTAGGCATGGTTGAGTGGCAAAAATGGAAAATGTGTTAAATCGGCGCGACGATTATTTCGCAGTCTAAATTATTTTTTGTAAATGTTCTATTATTATTTCTGGAAAGAACACGACCTCATCTATGGATTCTCAAAATTTCAGATTTTTGTGCATGTTCGTCTTAGCACAAAAAATCGYCAAAGTTGCCTCTTGCAAAACGCCTGTTTCGTTGTGCCTGACCTCCCTGTTTTGAGAAGACGGGGCTCAACGCCTGGGCCTGAGGGCTCTTTTGCAGACCACATGCCCTCACTTCTTTTTGGGGTCCGCTTCTACCCGAGGACCGGTTCAATGCCCCCCACTTCTTTTTGGGGTCCACTTCCACCCGAGGACCGGTCCTTCGTTTTTCCAAAAGTTCCGGTTCTACCAGAGCTAGCTGTAGGTAGTCCGCAATTTTGGCAAGGACCAGTCCCCCAATTTTTTTTGCCCCCTAAGAACCCACTCAATGCAGATTGGAATGAAAAAGAACAAACAAAAACGACGGGGGGACCGAGAGCAACCTAACGGCGTCATTTTCAAGGGAATTCAGGGAATTCGAAGTCACCATTGGGAGGTGACTTGAAAATTGGGCCGGTTTGCCTGGGTGCCCTACAGCGGCCCTAGAGTTTCAGAGTGGGAATTTATTGCGGAGGGAACGTTAATCACTTTTAATGGTGATTACCAAATCTCAAGGGCGTAATGGAACGGTGCCGCCCTTGAGATTTTTTCAAGTCGGTGGGTAGTGGAACGAGGCCCTTGAAAAATTCACCAATTCGCTTGGGCCGCACTTGAGCTGCACTTGACGTTTTTGGCGGGCGCCGGGAGAGGCGGGAAGCCTAATCACGATTAGGGAAACTGAAAGTCAAGTGGAGTGCAGTGTGGAACGGTGAATTTCTCAAGTATTTCTAAAGTGGGGTGGTGTGGAACGAGGCCCAATTTGTTAGTGACTTGGACAATTCAACAACTAGTACCTTTTCCGCGTGGGAAAATAGGAAAAACTGACAGTTTTCCCAAACTCCTGAATTTTCAGAGGTCGGGGCCGACGACGACTGCCATTGATAAATCTGATTGGCGGCCGTCGTTTCGTTTCGGCCTCTGAAAGGTCTGACGCCTACCCGAGGCCCGCTATTTTCCCAAGTGACAAAGGTACTAGTGGTCCCGTTTCAGGCCCGAACTTTTTTTTTTTTTTTTTTTTTTTAAGGCTAATTTGCAGCCCTTAGGCTGCGGTATAGTGGGGTTCCGCGTCTGTGTCAAGGTGTCGCATTTTTGACGGCGGGCGACCAGGACGCAAAGTGGGTTCTTAGGGGGCAAAAAAATTTGGGGGACCGGTCCTTCGCAAAATTGCGGACTACCTACAGCTAGCTCTGGTAGAACCGGGACTTTTGGAAAAAGGAAGGACCGGTCCTCGGGTGGAAGTGGACCCCAAAAAGAAGTGGGGGGCGTTGGACCGGTCCCCGGGTAGAAGCGGATCCCCAAAAGAAGTGAGGGCATGTGAATTGCAGAAGGGCCCTCAGGCCCAGGCATTGAGCCCCGTCTTCTCAAAACAGGGAGGTCAAGCACAACGAAATAGGCGTTTTGCAAGAGGCAACTTTGGCGATTTTCTGTGCTCGGACGAAACATGCAAAAAAATCTGAAATTTTGAGAATCCATAGATGAGGTCGTGTTTTTTCCAGAAATAATAATAGAACATTTATAAAAAATCATTTACACTATGAAATAATCGTCGCGCCGATTCGACACATTTTCCATTTTTGCCACTCAGCCATGCCTGGGCCAACTAAAAAAGTACTCTAAATTCAGTGAGTTTTCACGCTCAGAAGAATGCGTGAAAAATAGTGAAATTGGAGTACTCGTAGATTTTGTTGTGATCTTTCAAGGAAAAACGGTAAATAAATTAAAAAAAATCATTCCAACTGCAAAATAGATCGCTGCCGCAATTTGACCCATATTTCAATTTTGCCATTCAGTCTCTCTCTCTCTCTCTCTCTCTCTCTCTCTCTCTCTCTCTCTCTCTCTCTCTCTCTC